CAATGTGAGAGTCCACCTTCCCAACCACCTCTAACACGGATACTTAACTGGAAAGAGGATAGAAGGAGACTGACTATGACCTTTGCAGCTGATCGACAAAAGAACGACCCCAACAGCTATGGGTCCAATACCATCGCCTGCTTTGTTTAATTATCACAAGGCGGCCACTTAAGAGAATAGGCATACAACTACTATTTTTATTCAAACACCTCAAAACGTTCTTTTGTTTAACAAATTTAATTTATAACTGCCATGGCTGCTAGCAACCAGCCTCTTCAGGGCAGGGGATACCGGGAGAGGCGGGATAATATTGTTAAAGTTATTAAATTATAAAACCCCACGAGCAAAAATAGTTTAGATTTAGTGTCAAGGTGTATTTTATAAATAATATTATCTTTGTTAATCTTTAGAAAAAATGCTCCCGATTAGATATATTTTGTGGAAAAGAATATTATTTTTAACCCATCAAATAATCTATTAAATATTAGTATCTAAATCGTAATATATTTGTTGAAAATAACGAATTTATATCAAATTTTACTTCTTTAACCACTTTATCCTGGCGCTTATTCATTTGACCCTGGGTAGAAAGTAAAATGTCAAGAAAAATATCTCATTTCGACAATAACAGCATAGCTCATAAATTATTTAAAGTCATTTTGTAGGTGAGTGATATATAATTTGCTATATTTTAAAAATAAATAATTTTTATATAAGTATAACTATAAAGAAAAAAGAGTATATTTCCTAATTCGAAGCCTTATTAAATATGGTTGATAAGAACTAGTTTTTTTTAAAAAAAAGCTGGTTCTGCTGATTAAAAAATTCCTATCACATATGAATATCTAGTACTCCTACATAACATATCCTACACAATTTTTCAGCATAAATCCATTTTAGACGATTTCGTTAATTAAAGCTAAACATATTATATATATTAGAGACCAGCAGGCCCGACCCTAACCATTTTAATTTTTCTAAATATACCCGGGCCGGGCCGTATATTTTAAAACCAAATATTTGAAAACGCCATTGTTAGCTATAAAAATCAAATATAAATAAAATATATTTTAAAAAAATCCGGGCCGGGCCTGAATTTTTTTTTAAAAAGCCGGGCCGGGCCTGAAAATATAAAACCCGGGTTGGGTCGAAACATTTTATAAAATTCAGGCCGGTCCGGGCAAATGGTACCTCTGCAGGTCTCTGGTATATATTTTTTAACAAAATTATTTCAGGTCTATCTCTATAACTTAATTAACCCTGATTTCCTGTAATTTTTTAAACTTTTAAATCAAATTGTACGTTGCGCTATGGTTAAATTAGAAATATTTTATTTTACAAATGGGACAAACAAATAATATTGCACCTAGTTAATCTAACATCTTTGAAAATATTATGTTTTAATAACGAGTAATTTATACCCCGGCAAAACAGAACATTATATCATTCACAGCAACACCACACCTCCAAAACAATTTTTTTTTCTGGTAAAAATGCCTATTAGATGGACCACCATCAAACTTTCGATGCCTTGAAGAATTGTGTAAATTGGCGGCATCACTTTCATTCTTTCTTTCTTTCTATCTTTCTTTCTTTCTTTCTTTCTTTCTTTCTTTCTTTCTTTCTTTCTTTCTTTCTTTCTTTCTTTCTTTCTTTCTTTCTTTCTTTCTTTCTTTCTTTCTTTCTTTCTTTCTTTCTTTCTTTCTTTCTTTCTTTCTTTCTTTCTTTCTTTCTTTCTTTCTTTCTTTCTTTCTTTCTTTCTTTCTTTCTTTCTTTCTTTCTTGCTATACTTAAATAATAGACCTAAAATCTTGTTTAGAGGGGAGGGGGCGGTGGTGGCAGGTTAAAAAGAAAGAAAGGCATAGTTTATATTAAATTTTTAAGATTCATATTTTAATATTTTTTTATAAAAAAAATCTTGAAACAAAAAAAAAGGATTAATTAAATATAATATTTTAGTTTAAAAAGTGTGTTTTGAATTATCTTCTTTTTTTTAAAAAAAAAATTATTGAAATAAAATTTTTTTCAACTAAATAAAAGAAAATTAGATCGAGGGTAGTAAATGCGATAGCGGTGTTAGTACGAGCCTCGTTATTTTATTATTTCTAAAAACTTAAGTATCGTTTTTTTTTGAAGGAAAGAATTTGATATTGGACAGAGTTCACACCTCCCCCCCCCCCCTCATTTTGTAAAAAAAAATTTTAAAAAAAACCGTAACGCATCTCTTGTTTAAATTGAGGTTGCTTTTTTTATTAAATATCGTCCGATTCAAAATTTTGAATAAGTTCTAAAGAAAAAATGATTTGTTTTCGAAAAATTATATTATCGTCTGCCTTCTTATTTCTTTAATTTCTAAATATATACCTTTTCAGGATATGAGTAAGTTATTTATTACATTTTATATAATATTACAAAAAGGGAAGAATAACGGTAATTTTACCAGTTTGCACGAGGCCATTATGCATTATTTGCGCTTGCAGCACATCTTTTGAAACGCTCCAATTTGTGCGCACTATAATTCTGTTCTCGAAAATTTGAGGAAATTTTTCTAGCTGAAATAATTCCTAATACTTCAATCGAAAGGCGAATTGCGGAGGAGACGAAGGGGGAGTGGGGGGGGGAGTGCAGAAAAATATGAGATTTGTGAGAAAATTTCTGCAGGGAGGGTAATCGAACTTGGGTAATCAAATCGTTCCATTTTTTGGTTCCCATTCCAGTTAGATTTGTTAAACGGCTCGATTATGCGAGCCTGAAGATTTTAGTCATAGATGGCACAAAGTTTGGACATCTATTAGCAAAATCTCGAGGTTTAGTGCAATATTTTCCCGGTATAAAAATATTGGGTTAGCCGTTTGAAAATCGGCTCAAATAGAGGCGTTTAGCAACACCATCCTCAGCCATATAACTCAGATTGGAAAGTCCTGAAGGGTAGAGGTCACATAAAAGACAGGATTGAAAAAAAATAATACTTATATCAGGATTTAAAGTTGTTTTTAATTATAATAAAAAAAATGGAAATATTATACAATATTTTTGCAGCTTTATTGAATCTTGTTTTTTTTATTTATAAAATAAAGCATATTTGATTTTTGTCTGATTTATTAATCTATGTTAATTGTAGATTCTTCAAAAATTATATAAGAAGTAATTATGTAAATAAATGTTAAATTTAAAATTAAAACAATATCACCTATGTTAAAAGGCTAGGTTTTTGAAAAATAAGGTAACCCAATATTTTAGCCTAAAAAATATTACGCAATCATCAAGATTTCGTTAGATGATCAAACTTGATTAAAAGTTTTAAGTTAAATTGGGAAAAAAAAGATTAAAAGAAAGAAAGAAAGAAAGAAAGAAAGAAAGAAAGAAAGAAAGAAAGAAAGAAAGAAAGAAAGAAAGAAAGAAAGAAAGAAAGAAAGAAAGAAAGAAAGAAAGAAAGCAAGAAAGAAAGAAAGAAAGAAAGAGAAAGAAAGAAAGAAAGAAAGAAAGAAAGAAAGAAAGAAAGAAAGAAAGAAAGAAAGAAAGAAAGAAAGAAAGAAAGAAAGAAAGAAAGAAAGAAAGAAAGAAAGAAAAGAAAGAAATAAATAAATAAATAAAGAAAGAAAGAAAAAACTAACTTTTTACTACTTAAATGACATAATAAATGTGTTATCTAACCATCCAATCAAGTCGAAGGGATCTGCAAATTTCAAATTGTCTCTATATTAACTCAATTCATATTTTTTTAGTTAATTTATAAATAACTCGATCGTTTAATAGAAAGAAATAATCCAAAACTTAAGACTCCAATTCAAATCTTATTTTTTTCAAATTTAGTTTAGGAATTACCGAAGTAATATGATGTTTTTGTTTTATTGCGATAAAAATATATACTTATATGATCCTGGGCTAAGAGGTCATCTTGTTTTTTTTTTGAAAGATTTTGCTATGTTTGAAAGGAAGAAATCATGTGACTAAAAAACGACACATCATTGGATAGTTTCATGATTAGATTTCATTCAAAAATTAAAATTTAAAAAACCAGCTTAATACTTTTAAAAGTGTGGGCTATATAGGAATTTAGTTTAAAAGTCCTATTATGTTTTTCTTAAAATTAATTAATTTTTTTTTTTAAATTTTTGTATAATTATTATTTTTTTTTTTTACAAACGCGTAATTATTGGGCGAAATATACAAAATATGATATAAATATCAGAGACCTGCAGAGGTACCATTTGAACGGCTCGGCCCGGATTTTCTTTCAAAAATTTTTTACGGCCCGGCTCGGATTTTTTATTTTAAGATTCTCCCGGCTTTTTTTAAAAAAAAATTTCAGGCCCGACTCGGATTTTTTTAAAATACATTATACTTATTTTCGATTTTTATAGATAGTAATGGCGATTTCAAATATTTGGTTTTAAAATATACGGCCCGGCCCGGGGATATTTCAAAAAATTAAAATAAGGCTCAAGTTTAGGTCCGGGCCTAGCCACCTAAAGTTAATTCGAGCCAAACTGTCATTGATATAGGGAAGGAAAGGGGGAAGGCAAAAAAATCTTGCATGATTTTATAATTGATACTACTTCCTATATAAATAATAAAAAATGAACATAACTATTAATAAACATTATTTTATTTATTTTTTTTAAATAGGAAGCTAATTCATTCTCGCTCATAGGCAAATTCTCGGGCTACCGCTTAGGGAAACTGGTTGAGTTGGTTCATACAAAAACTAACGATATATTTTATTTGGCGTCCACTTTCTATAAATAAAATCACACACATTTATTTTACATAAAAAATTCAACATAAAATTGATAAATTTAGATATATTTTAAAAAAATTTCTAAAGCCCGATCCAACCCGGCCCGAATTCTTAAAATTATTAGGCTTAGGGCCGGGCCGGGTTTGGGGCGGGTACAAGCCGGGTTTGGGGCGGGTACGGGCCGGGCCTACTTTTGCAGATATGTTTAGTATGAAAACAATAAATAATATTCATAAAAATTTATAACTCTAAATTCAAGAAAAATGGTGACGCCCGATTGGAAAAAATAAAGGGTGGAAGACAAAAAAGGAAGAAAATGATAATGATTTTGTTGAACGATGTCGGTTTTCCGGCCTACATAACTCTCATCATCCTCTTAAGCGGAATATTTTTCGCCATATTTTGGCTCATCATCATAATACTATTTTGCCGGCTCAAAGCAAAACGCCTGGGAAAACTTAAACGGTAAATCTTTATTATTGCTAGCATCATTCGAATCAGTTTTCTACGGGGAATATTTTTTAGAAATTTAATTATTTAGAGCTTTTTTGTAAATTTTTTTTTAAAAAAATGTAATTTTTCCGGAATTGTATTCCAGCATGCGTAGAATATTCGTCTCCTATAAATTTCAAGCAATTTTGCATTAGACCTTTGAGCTAGTTTAATTTTACATTTCGGCAGAGGAGAAAAAAAATTGAAAATTGAAGGAAGGCCGTTAAAATTCAAAAGGTAGTTCAATTTTAAGATTGTTTGAAACACGTGAATTCAGCTAAGATTTAAAATAATAAAAATAATTCATCAAATATCTTTAAGAATCTCCCTCCTCCCTCCTTCTTTTTCTCCAATGCATGGAAAACTTTACATTTCCCTTTCCTAAAGTCATTATAAGAAATTTAATTGATAAAAAATATTGCTTTTTTAAAAAAAATTGAAATCGTTATATTTAAAAATTATGATATTTTCTTTATTATCTTTAAAATAAAATTTAACAGCGATTATATTATGGATTATTTTAACCTTTAACTTTCTAATAGATTAAGAATTAAGGATTCGCAATAACAAAAATAGATCTTTGTATCTCGATGTTTTAATTTTCCAAATATTTGTTTATAATTTAATTTAATTCAATTTTTTTTATTTCGATATTTTGTTAATTTTATGTAACAGTCAATAAAAGTTAAAATTATTCAGTGCCATTTTATCTAATGATTTCAAAAGAAAGAAAGAAAGAAAGAAAGAAAGAAAGAAAGAAAGAAAGAAAGAAAGAAAGAAAGAAAGAAAGAAAGAAAGAAAGAAAGAAAGAAAGAAAGAAAGAAAGAAAGAAAGAAAGAAAGAAAGAAAGAAAGAAAGAAAGAAAGAAGAAAAAAAAATTACATGAATAAAAATAAAATAAAAATATATAGACAACCTGCTTTCTTTACACCTACCCGGGAAAACGATGATGGTCAGTTTTATGGGGAGGAAGGATCGGGAAATAATGCCAAAAATAAGAAGAAAAATAGTTTATATATCCCTAATAAAAGTTTGAACTCCAATCTAAATGGCGCTAAAGTACCGAGAAAATTTGATAATATGGAGTACAGTAGTATAGATATGGAGACTTCTGGTGTTCAGAACGCCATGGAAATGGCAAACGTTCGGATGCAAGAAAGGTAAATTAAAATTTAAAAACAAACAAAATCCTTATATATATATATATTTTAAAACGAAATTTCTTCTATTTTTTTTTGAAAATATGTTTGTGTGCCCCTGGTTTATCATAATACTAACTTAATTTTTTATTAATAAATTATTAAAATTATTAACAATTATTGCATTGTGTATAGAAATTATGAGCAACCAACTCTCACTTTACTAATAAATTAAACTTTATATTTTGCATATGTCGTATTGGGGTATAGACGTAGTGTTAACTCAGTATTTTATCCAGAAAAATATTACGCAAGCCTGAAGATTTCGCTCATAGAAGGAACAAAGGTCTAGACATATATTATCGAAATCTCGAGGTTTAGACAATATTTTTCTGGCTAAAATATTGAGTTGCCATTTTTAAAATTAGGCTCAAAACGAGTCGTTTTTTAGACCTGAGCCCTCTGGTCGGGTTGGGCTACGGAGAGCCCAAACCTCTCAAATTTGTATCATTTACTGAGGGCGATTTTTTTTTAAATTTTAAAAATCTGATTTCACCGGAAATATATTTCAGCATGTCTACACTATTTGCCCTATAAAAATTGGGAAAATTTTAAAGTCAAATTTTATCGTTATGAGTATTTTAGATTTATACGAAAAATCTATATATAAAACGGATAAAAAAAATTAAAAGTTAAACAGTTTTGGGCAATGTTGTCTGAAATTTACAATGTGGGCATAACTATGTAAAGTTGAAACGTGCATATCCGGTCAGTTGAGATTTTTTTTTTAAGATTTAAAAACTGCTTTCAGTAAACGATTTAAAATTGATGAATTTTTTGAAATTCAATGAATTCTGCAATTCCGATATACTACTAACTACACATATATTTAATATAGACCCTTACCCCATCATTAAACACGAAAAGAATTTTGATTTCCGATATTATGCTACTATTTTATTTATTGGTAAATTTAAGTCCTGTCATAAATTGCCCGCGTATTTTTGAGGTTTGGTTTTATATTTTTCAAGGAAATGTTGACAATCGATTAAATTTTATCCATTGCTCTAGCTCAAAAGAGCCAACCTCCCATCTATCTGTTCTTTTGCCAACGAGAGTATCTCATCATATAAAATGAATGCAATTTGGATTAATTTAAGTCTATATGTATATATTCTAAAAAAAATTTTACAACCAATACTTCTAACTGTGTTATGTGTTTAGAAGATATTTGCTAGTAACGATAAGATAGTGGAATATCTTCCATAAAATTAGTTGTTAGATACTAGATAATATCGAAGTTGTCCAAGGATTATACTCAACTTATCAACAACGAATGTTTTCGAGGTATATAATTAATAGAGTCTGTTTATTTATCTATTCATTTATAGCCCCGAAAATGAAGGGCATTGCAAAGCTATATATCGTCAGATTCATAATTTAGCAAAATAATCACTTAATTCTGAACCATATAGAAAAGTTAACATTATATTTCTAATCTGGGATATGTAACCAATGGCGATTCAGGATTTCTAAATTTTAAATCATTTACTGAGAAATATAGAACTTGCTCCTTGAATTTCATAAAATAATTTTGTCTATATTCATTGATTTTAATCATAAATTAACATTAAAAATTAAAAAAAGAGTTCTTGGTGGAAATTGTCCAAAACACATTTTAGGGTCAAATTGGATTTTTTTTAAAAATTATTCTCAGCATGGATTCCTTATCCTAAATAGGAATATATATACATGAACTTTAGGGTAGATTTCTAAATCCATTTTTATCCTCTAAAAATGCCTCTTTAATTACTTTCTCAGATATTGTTTTTCATTGAACTTAATTATAATACATCAAATCATTTATTTATCTATTTTGGAGATTATAAGTAATGCCTCTTTTTTAGGCATAAAAAATTTAACAAATTTTGAAAAATAAAAGTAATTATCCATTTCCTAATTTTTTTTTTCAAATCCATTTTTTTAAAAAAAGGGAACATATAAATAATGATATAAATTTTTGTATTAAAACAAAACTAAAAAGTTAAAACTTTTTGAAAAAAAGCAATAATTTTTTATATAGTTTTTTTTTATCTATAGCAATTTTATGTGATATTTTTTTATATATATATCATAAATATCGATTTGTGTCCAAATTTTTTTTCTTTTATAAATTTCACTGTCGTATTTTTTTATTTTTGAATATTATAAAAAAATTGTATAGTGGATTTATCAGTTTTAAATCATATGGATTAAAAAAAAAGTCTATTATATATCTAATTATAAAAAATTATTTTTTGAAAATACAGAACAGGCTAAGGAATATTTATATTCCCAAATAAAATTTTACCCTTTCGGGTTCATGGGGCATGTTAATTTTTTGGGTCGGTAGTAAGTACCACCAATTATTAATATAGTTTAAACTTATAAATTTAACCAAACCAAATCGGTACTAAAATTACATAATTTTGTTAGTTATTTTAGTATAATTTAAATTATATCTTCTTCTTTTTTTTCTTATAAATGTGATTTTAGGTTGTAGATAAACAGAATTATACTGTTATTTAGATTTACACTATCACTTCCCACAAAATAAATATAAAAAAGAAATTAAAAGATACCATAAATTTTTTTTAACTATTCAAAAAAGTTTTGGGAACTATATTATTTCTGGCTGGCGTCATATAAAATTATCGATATTTTTTGAATTAAACCAATTTTCTAAATTTTTAAGTTTATTATAAATGGAAATGCTGGTCCTTTAAACCCATTTGCTAAATTTAATATAAATATTTAAAAAAAAATTTATAACCATATTTTTAAATAATTTTTTTAAAAAAATTTGTCAATTAAGGACTATTATATAAGGAACATAATTTTATAAAATTTTCGGCAATTTTTTAAAATATTTAAAATATATCCCTTTAATAGATAACTAAAGATTTATAAGTCTACATTGTCTGATATTGAGAAAATGTTGTTTTATAATCATTTTATGAACTGGATTCTTGGGTTAGATTCAAATATAAAAAAATAAATTAGATTTGAAGATTAAATATCTAAATAAGGGTTATATTTTAGAATCATTAATATGAGGTCCGCATCCGCGCTTGGACCGAATCCCAACTGGGCCCGAATAAAAATTAAAAAAATTTAGCTCCAGGGCTGGAAGAGTGCGCGGGCCGGCTAAAAGATTTTTAACCATTGAGCGGGTAAACTTACGGGTTAAAAAAATATATTTAAAACAATAGGCAGGCTATAAGTGGATTCGAAGCATTTTTTTCAGATGAAATAAGCAGAACAGACAGAGGGCTGGGTTAAATAACAATTTTTTTTTAGATAAATAGGTGAGCGGATGGGTATTTTAAACAATAAATTATGGGACGGGTGGGTGAATGAGTTAATTATTTTTAAAACAAAGCAGGAATTCGGGTAAAAATCTGCCCATTGCAGACCTCTACTCCAGGCCGGTCTCGGGCTAAAAATTATTTAAAAAAAACTTTGGGCACATTAGTTTTCTGAGTTATAAATAATATCAATGTTTTTGATGCTGAAACTTTTTAAAAAAAAAAAAATTGATCAGTTTTAAACTCAAAATAATTACTGTTTCCTTATTTAAATTTAAATGATCTTCTTTCAGAAGATATTCTCTTGAGCCAATTTTTGAATAACGGCAATGCAACTATACACCAGTAGAAAATTTATTTTTCAATGGATTAAGATTTATCATGAAGTTTAATTCAGGATCAAGATTTTTTAAGCAATATAGGTCCTATAAAATTTCTTTATATTTATAATGTTTGATTTTAAGATTATGTGAGGGTTCCATCGAGATTGAGCAAAGATTTAAGTAAGTAGAGAAACATTAAAATGTGACATATAGATGAGCATGTCAGATTCTAGTACTCGAACCCAAACCCTAATGAAAAAAAAATGGGCAGACTAATTACGGTCAAAACAGAAGAACTGAAAAGGGAAGGGTTAAACCTTTGTCAAAGAACCTCAATCAATGTCATCAAATAAAATTTCTACTATCTCGTTAATTCATTTCCTATGCCTCTTTTTTTATTCTAATTTCTCCCTTTCTTTCCTTTTAATATATAATATATTGTATTTATTTTTTTTCTTTCTTACAGTTTTACATTTTCTATATTTTGTTTTTATTCGTTGATTTACATTTTTAAATTTTTTGTTAATCTAAACTTTTATAAAAACCTCAGGGATTTTATATTTTCGCCAATTTGCGTTTCCACCAACAGACTGTCTGTGCCTATCACCTTGGAGTTTTTAAAAAAAGTTAGCTCATTGAATGGAATTACAAACACTTTAACTTAGATAATTCTTTTTCCTTAGGCAGAACATACAATTATATATTTTTAAATTTAACTATTGCTACTTTTTTGGCGGAATTAATGTTTATCTTTAAAATTATGTTTTTATATTATTTTTTAGTTCGTAAATATTTTTTATTATGTCGTATGGGGATTCGGAATCTCTTGATTTTAAATCCTTTATCGAGGGCGATTTTTGCATTTTAAAAATATGAATTGTATTCCAGCATGTGTAGGGTATATATCCTATAAATTTTAGCCTATTTCAGCCATAGACATTAGTATTTTTTTAAAATTTATATGAAAAATCATTATAAAAATTAATATAAATTAGAAGTAGTTCTAAAGTTCCCATGCTAGAATACATTTCCTGTTAAATCGGGTTTTTAATTTTTTTAAATCGCCCTTGGTAAATGATTTAAAATTGAGAGATTCAGAATTCCCATGGATTTCGAAACCCCATACGACATTTTATGTATATAATTTTATTATACTAAAAATTTATAATGTAATTATTATTTATGTAACTCGTTTTGATTCGAATTATCCATAATTATATATCAATCACTATTTAAAACTACGCATAATTAAATAAAACCATTTGTCATGAATCAAAAAGGTAATTTTTTTAATTAAGGCGAAAAAAATTAGTGCAGGAGAAGCGGGATGTGAGCCCCATTAAGCGCATCTTTGGATGTTTCCTGTTCAATGTGTATAGCTTTTTTGGAATGTGTCCTCTAGGAAAAAATCCCTACATATAAATGATTAAAAACAGGGATAGGGTGGTGGAATGTATTCAATTATTTGATATATCTCACCTTGTGGTTCTTTTATGAATAAGATGAATGAATGTGTTTGGTCATTTAGAAACTATAAATTTGTATATTCATTTGATTTGTTTTTTTCTTTGACGGGATCCAGGTGTTTTAAAAAAACACGACACGATACAAATATTTTCTTTAAATTACATAAATATGGTGTCAAATTTTATGAAACCCAGGTGTTTAAATTTTTTTAATTTTTTGTTAATAATACCAAAAAAATATACACATATAATTTAGTTTAAAATCGTCAACCATATTATTTTAGATAAATCATTGATTAGTATCTAAAAAATGTATATCAATTATAAGATAATGATAATTGAAATATGTCTCAAACACAAAAAAAAAGTGAATTGATTATAATTGAATTAGTACTTTCTTCAAATCCTAAAATTATTCTCATGTTTTCAAAACGTTCATCATACATTTTATACTATATGTATGTATGTCTATATTTTTAAAAAATTTTCCTTTCTTGTATATTCACAAATCATTAATATAAGAACAAAAAAAGGACCTTCATTTTCAATTTAACGTGATACATTTAAAAAAAAAATTTAATCACATTAACTTTATAAAGACTAAAACATATTCTTTAACATTTTTTTTAAAGATACATAATAACATTTATATCAAAGAGCGTCTTATATAATTAAAATAAAGAAAAAATTATTTTTATCGATTAGAATAATTCCAATATAACGAATACCATAAAATTGTTATGTACATTATGTTTTTTTTATCCCTTCCCCAAAAACTTGAAGGCAGGAATTGTTAGAAGAACAGGCTAGGAAGCTTAAAGGAGGTCCACTTTTGCTGACCGTGCCTCAAACGCGTTTCCATATGGTATCGCCTACCAATTCCATCACGCCCTTACTCGAAACGAACACTAATAACGAACCCGATGAAAAAGCGTTTCTCGAGCGAAACCCGCCAAACAGCGAAAATAATATGGGGAAAAAAATTAGCAATTTTTTGCAATTCAATAGGGGGCAGACGGATCGGAGACATTCCGAAGTTTCGAATTACTATGGAGCGAACGCGAAGGCGGACAAAAAGAGGAACAAAAGCGTTAACGATATCGATGGCGTTAATAACGAGCACATCACGGCGCTCATAAATATCGTGCCGACTTCGCCCACCATTACTCCCCTAACTTTCGTGCTCCCGAAAAATTCTCACCACAAGCAATTTCCCAATCTCTCCGGTTTACCCGGTAATTTATTTTACTTTAACCGGTTTTTTTAGATTATAAACTCCCCAAAAAACATTAGTTAAGTGGCTTGGTTTCTTTCAACAAGGACGCTTCTAGAATTTATCGGCGAAACCAGAGATGGAATAATGAATCCTCCAATACTACATATATAATTATGGCCATTTTTACTTAATTTAAATATTTAAGAAATAATATCAAATATTTTTATTTTTCAATTTAATAGTATCACCCCCCCCCCCTCTGTTGGTGATTAATGTTGTTAAACGTCTCAATTATGGTTGATTTTTTTAAAAAAAGACTAATTCAACATTATAGTCAAAATATTGCCTAAGCGTCGAGATTTCTCCAATAGTTATTCAATCCTATGGGTCATCTATGAGCAAAATCTTTAGGCTTGCATAATATTTTTCTGGATAAAGTATTGAGTTAGCCGTTTTTAAAAATCGGCTCAAATTGAGCCGCTCAACAAAACTAATGGCGATACCCTATAACTAATTTTCAATGATATTCTTTATCCCATTAATAATAATTTTTAAAAATAAGTGATTAATTAATAATAATCGATCAAATCAGTTTTTTTTCCCGAATTTAATAAATATTTTGTTTAAAAGGAAATTATTTTATCAAAATATTAGTACAGAAAAAATAATAGCAAGTTTCGAAAAATTATTTTTTACTATCTACTAGTGTTATTAAACGGCTCGTTTTGAGCCGATTTTTGAAAACGGCAGCTTAAAGCTCAATATTTTGACCATAAACTAAGCCTCGAGATTTCGCTAATAGATGTCCTTTTATCCCATCTATCAGCAAAATCTTCCGGGTTGTATACTGGATTAAATATTGAGTTCTTACTTCTACCCCTCTTCTAAAACTAATCCCTAAACCTATTTTGATCTTTTATTATATATTTTTTGATATATACCTAATAAAATGAATGATTCTTATAATTTCCATTTTTTTCTTCTTCTTTTGCTTTGTTTACACACCTTTATAATATTCATGTGATTAATTAGTTACATTAATCGGGAAATTAATGGGATATATTGGGTAGAAAATCAGCATGACCCTATCCGACCAATTAAGAAATATAAAAGGAATTTTATGGCCCGGTTTATTATTCGATGCCCAGAGCCATTAATTTTGTCCGGGGATTTTCGATCCGGGCCATGGTGATCACTTATATACCGCAACATCAAACATTCTACACAATTGAAAAATAACAAACATAGTTTCACCAAACAACATTTAAAAATAAAATTAAAATAAAATATCTGTATCAGAAAAGTTAAATTTATTTTGAAGTCCAGTTTTAATTATATACATATTCTTGCGTAAAAAGATCTCAAAACAAGTTATATTAAAAATTTGGTGGAAATTATTTAATATTCTTGATACGTAAATATACAACAACTATATATATAATTTTTTTTTTCTTTAGGTTGTGGCATTTAGAATTCGAATTTTGCTTCCCTTTTATTTCGATAAATTAAAAAATAATTATTTGAAGACTTTCATTGGATCATATACAACATTTTAAAGTAGTTTTTAATAAATTTTACTAAAGTATTGGAGGATTTTGTATTTATAAATTTTATATTAAAATTTTATGAAAATAAATTGAGTGAAAATATCATCGATTTGAAAGAAAAAAAATATATTGTATACAAAGATAAATGGAATTATATATCGGAAAAATAATTTTTAGGGTTTAATATTTCCTATAAAAACAAAATTTTTGACAAATTTCCCCTAAATGTTTTTCATCCGTAAAAATGTCAAATAAATAAATAAGATATTCCTGAAGATGAATCGAATCTCTCTTCCGCGTCTACGGAAACAAGCTCAAACTTAATGCAAAAAAAGAGTCAAAAATTGGCTAAAGATAGGAATAGGGCTTCTCACAAACTCGTCACTTTAATAGACTTAAATGCGAAAAAACCCCCGAGCGATAAAGATAAAGGGCAACCTATTCCAGTTCCCAGGGAAGACGAGTAAAACAAATTAAATTTCTTAGAGATCTGCAGGCATGAAACTCGACCTGTAAGAAATTATTTAGGCCCTGACAGAGCAAAATTTGACCTCTTCAGGCCTCTGATACAGTATATTATATATAATTTCAGAGGACCTGCAGAGATACCATTTATACAATCCAGATTCAAAAAATTTTTTTGGCTCGACCTGTATTTAAAAAAAAAATTTTCCTCAGTCAAGTTTGGGGCCGGGCAGGGCCTGCAGGTCTTTGATATATATATATAATAGACCCAATATATTAAAAAAGAAGATAAAAATGAGCTTGATCTATAAGATGAAATGTATATATAATTTAGGTAATACTTTTTAAAAAAGCAACCAATAAATCTTATGTATAAAGTTTTAAGAAGGGAAAAAGTTCAATAAAGTATAGGGGGAGGAAAAAATATATCTAAAATACAGGCGTTCCCAGTGAAGAATACTGTTTCGGATACATTATGTTGAAGTCAGCTGTTCGAATTGTATGAACATTCATGGATGCTATACAATCTCTTCTTTATTTTTAAGCTATGCATTTGATTTTTTTTAGTAAATTTCTATATCTATTTTCAGCTTCATTTTATTTTTTAAAATATATATTATAATATTTTTTTTAAAATTCTTTTTCTACATAATTATTTTATTTATTTAAAACAAAATATTCAATTTTAATTCTTGAAATATATATATGGTTATTGCCATCAGTGGCATAGCCAGGATTTATCCATAGGGGAGTTTTAAAATACCCCTAAACTCTCTTTCCTCCGGCCTTCGGGTGGGTCCCACAGTAGTTATCTTTATATCATCTTTGTTAAAGTTAGCTGAACAATTGGAATTACTAATTCTAAAATGTTGTCAATATTTTGTGCTTTATTAGTGTCTAACACTTAAGTATCCAGCATAAATGAAAAAAATAATTAATAACAAAATTTTTTGCCAAATTTATGACTAATAGGCCACTGAAAGCATTATTCTGAAAAATTTTATCAATGTTTAATGTTCAATTGAATTAATTCAATCTCTTCGATGCTGAAAGAAAATTCACCACACCCCCCCCCCCAATCTCCAATTTTTATGATCACTCAATTTATCTTCTTATATGCTAAAAATAAATATTTTAATTAAATTTTTGCATATAACAAAATTTTACAGAGAATTTTATTATAGATTTTATTGTTTTATTAAAATACTTTAGTATAAATAACATCCCTTTATTTAACTATGTATTTATTTTAATGATAATATACAATAAAATACATTTTAAAATGTATAAATTTTATACAGATTATTATATTAAAAATTTATTATAGATATCGATATTTTTTTAAAAAATATATAATTTAACAATTATAATTAATACAAATGATTATATTATCGAAATATAAATAACTCTTATAGCAAATGCAATACTTTTATTAACAAAAGTATAAATATATAAATATTATGACTAAGAATTTATTATAATTAAGTTTTAATTTTATGATTAAGAACATATTATAATCATATTAGAATTTTATGATTTGAATTTATAAAAAGACTTTTCTCTGAGATTTGACTAATTATCTAGAATCAAATTTTTATCTAGAATAATCTCCTTATAAATATTAATAGGACTAATCCATTTAAACGAGTTTCACCGGTGCTAAGCCTTAAATAGTTTTTAACCTTTTTGAAATTGGAAAAGACCTTTCATTAGTGCAGTTATTAATAGGTAAGGTAGCTAAAATATAAAAAAAACAATGCTTTGATATTAAGCATGGTATCTAAAGTTCAATTACACACATGGAAAAGGCTTGCAAAGCATTTTTTGGTCTTAGAGAGTATACTCTATTCTGTCAAAATTTTTATAACAAAATTCGACATCACAAAGTAACTTATCATATGATCCTAATAAATCATCAGATTAAAACTCTGAGATTTTCATAATATCCTCTCTCGTTTCAAGTGTAATCAACAATTCAGATTCAACCGGCAAAGGAAAATAAAAGCTTGCTGTTTATCTTTACCAAATTAAACGCTTTTTCTTGTAATTAGAAATTATAAAAAATAATTTAAAATTTTTAAAATTATCTAATTTGTTTACCAATATAAATTATATTATTAAATTGTTTTTCAAAAAAATATTCGAGGTGATCATTTAAAATTGAAAATTCTTATATGTGTTTTTAAATATATTTCATTTTGATATCGTACATGTTATTTTATTTCCGTTTTATAAATAAGATGGATGGGAGGGGTTTAAACCCAACTCCTCCTTGTCTACGCCACAAATTGCTATCCTTTGTCATTGTAATTTGATGAATCAGCTATGTATTTGGTCATTTTTAAATTTTGTCACGGATGAGAAATCCCATATTAAAAATTGGCATTTAAAAGTAGAATTCGTGTGATTCCATCGCCTTTACCATCGGGAAAGAGATTAGATGAGTCTATGGGGAAGCCCGCTCTGAGCTCAGTGCGAGAGATATGACTTGATTATTTTGAGTGACGAATTCGCCACCCAGGGTTACCATTACAGTGTAAGGATGCAGCGCTATACACGACATTTTACATTTATATGGCAATGAGAATAGAATATGGAGCCTGTTAGATAGAGCATAGTTGAGCTAGTGGTTAAAATTCATGTCCCCTATCCTTGATAAGTTCAATGAATGAGGATCCTACCAAAAGTGAAAAACTCGGGAGGTAATTCAGCGGATTTTTTTTACAAGTAGTTAGAGTGATTAAAAAAATACATTATTCACATACTCCGACAATTTAAATTAAATAAAGTATTGAAAGATGTTGCTCTTGATCACTTTAAGAAATCCTTTATTAGTGATTTTCTAATAATGATTTACGCTATCCTTTTTTGAATAGCGAATGTGGCTCGAGTCAGAGATGGAGAAATAGACTGATGCGCAGCAAAACCTTAGAACGATCTCCACCAGGACCAGTTTTTTAAGCCAACCTTTTGGACTATATGTACGTGGTAGAACTCTACAACTGACAAAATTCAGGCCCGTACGGGTTGGAATTTAGCTTTTGCCCGACCCGTTCAAATTTTTACTAAGATAGTCCGACCCAGCTATTTTAAAAATTTTAGGCCTAACCCGAAAAATATATTTAGTTTGAACATCAAAATAAACAACTGCCTATAATATCGATGGTTAAATGAAAATTACTACCCTTTATGGGGGATTATCATTTCTATCAAATATAAAAAATTCGTCAATAATCCAACCCATTAATATTTTTGCCCGGTTCTGCCCACATAAATTTTTACCGCGGTTGGGATACATCGTTGTAGGGATAAAAACCTTTTTCAGGGGAAAAAAACACTTTATAATAAATAAAATTAGACTTAATCTGTATGGGGGAAAAATATAAACGATCAATTTATTTTTGAATATTTTTCATTTATTTACTATCCTTTTTAAAATATAAACTAACAAATATTTTATTGTAAATTTTTCATATCAACTATCATTTTTATTAATTTAGTCATTTTTGTTGGTTAATATTTTTATTCGGAAAAAAATTTAATTTGTAAAATTGTTTAAAAATTTTTTTTATAATGGCTTTTATCTTGTCCTCCCCTTTTTTTTGGCTGTTAATTTTGCAAAAAAATTGTATTTTTTCGTTCCTAAGTGGAATTTAATGTTATATTTAAAAATGGTTTCGTAAAATTTGATCGTTATTTTATCAAATTGGTTTAAAGTGTGCTTAAGCGGCGTTCTAATAGTTCTTTATATTATAAATGAAATTATTATGATTACCAGGATGTATTATATAGCCTAAAATTCTTTTAAAAACAATTAATATAATTATTTTTCGTTTGTTATCACTTAATTTTAAGCTTTCGGAGAAATTTTTTAGGAAATCAATATCTTTTTTATTTTATATTCCCAAATTTTAAATTCAAAGGTATACTATTATAAGAATTTGTAGGAGATTTTACTTCTGGGTTCCACCCATCCGTGAACGGGGAGAGAGTTAGATATAGTCAAATTTTTAGCCCTATTTTTTTGCTTAGATAGCAAATATCTTTTAAGGTCCTGACAAAAAGGTTAATTTGCTTCCTATATTATTTAGGAAGAGCAGGGCTCTGTTACTCCAATTATGGAGGCTAGGATTGTCTAATGAGAGGTATATTTGTTTCTTTTAATATTTTACGTCTTCTCTTATTTCATGTCATTTAAATGGAATTATCATGCATATATGAACTTTATGAATATATATATGCCGTCAACCATAAGATATTATTACCTACTTGGTACTTAGCCCACAGGGGTACATATGTGTTAACCGATTTTAATGCTCTGACAAATATGTTACTTACAGGACTATACCTATGTTGATATATACCATTTATTTTCACTTATTACCAAACTCCTCAAACGAAACAACGTCAAATAAGAAAAAAAATATATATCTTTAGGCATTGACTTTGATAAGAATTATATTTGTGATCGATATTGCAGTAAAATAATTTAGATATAAATCATTCATATATAGGGTAGAGACCAGAGGTAATTAGCTGTAATATTTGATAGAGATATCTAATAGCGTGCTACTTTTTTTATCAAATGGCTATTGTGTCAGCAAGTTAATTTCTTTTAAATTAACCAAGCAGCGGGCTATTTCGCTACTTTTTAAAAAAATATGATGAATATAAACTAAAAACATGAAAATTAATGCATAATAATATCATAATTAATTATAAATTATCATTTTTATTATTTAATTTTTGATATTTATTGAAATTTATATTTTCGAAATTTGTATTATAAATCTAAATTAACAAGTGTAAAATATTTAATTATACGCAAATGAATATAGGATGCAAGTGAGAAATTAACATTGGAATAAGTTGATAGAAAAAAAGGTTGTCTAAAAATTTAGGGTTTTAAATGCAAGAAAATTATATCCACTAAATAAATCTAGCAGTTTAACCTTAAGAGAAAAAAAACACCTTAAAAGTATTATAACATTTTTTAAT